TGAGTTATCCATTTAATCAAGGTGACAACAGAAACAGTCAAAGGCAAACAGAGTTAAAACAGTCAAAAAACAAAAATAAAAACCTTGATAGAGAGAACTCAGTCCTTTTGAACATAGGAAATTATTTTAACAAAATATAGATATTCTGTCTTTTAACTATACTTACTCAAAGGAACACCTTTTTTACCTCTATATAAAGAGCAGACCAAAAGTTTAATAAAGTTACCTTTATAAGAGAAAGCCAAAGCCTAATTTTCCACCAGCTTACTTAGCCAACTTGACCATGTACAAAACTCCTCAGGGTTTTACTTCCACAAACTTTCTGTCATTTACTTTTTACATTTAGAATTTGTCCCATGTCTTCTTCCCTTTTTTTCCCCTAGTACTTTAGGAAAAATTTATCTTTCTTAACAAAACAAACAAAAATATCTCTATTCTTTATACCTTTTTTACAGACAACATACATTTTTCTTTCCTTATACACAGACTTTCCAGAAATATGTACTTTCTCATAGAAAATTTTTCAACATGTACAAAATATGTTTATCAATAAACTTAAGCATCTTTCAGTTTCTCTGAGATAAGAAACCAAAGGCAGACAAATCTATGCTTAGTAATCAATTTTTAATGTTTTATCTTGTGTGGAAATGAACCAGATACTCAATAAATTTTTATTAACTTAATTTAGCAAAACTCTAAAGCTTCAAGTTACCAAAAAGATTTTGGAAGCTGTTTTTCAAGGATACAGACCATAATACATAATTATTGTTCAAAGTTTCCCCCCAAAACTTTTATCCTTTTTACATCTATTTTGTTTACTTGTTTCCAATAATTATATTTAGATTACCTACAAAAACCTTATGAGACATCAGACAGAAAGTTATTATTCTGTTATTACTTTTGCTGACAAATTTTGCAACAGAGATAACATAAGCTCATTTGACCAGTAAACCCAGGCTGCATCATATCCAATGTTGATAAGTCTGAAAATATATTTATTTCAATTAAACCAACAAACTTAAACAAGCTTTTCATTTACTAAAGATCGTTTTATATCATGTTAACTTGAAAGACATCTAGGCTAGCTCTATTACATTTAGAAATAATTTATAAAAGTGTTTACTCCAAGCCAATTAAATAGAACTCCTTTAGAAACTGTACCATCCAGAGGCAGACAAATACATATAGAGACAGATAAACACAGAGATCTTCAAAATTTTAGCCAGGTCTCAGGTGCAAAACTCAAAAGAACAGTTAGATCCCAACTATTTTTCTAGCAGGTAGATCTGCTCAGAAGGCCAAAAATATTTACTAAATATTCTTTCCTTTTGCTGTAAGATCTTTTTACAGCTGTTTTTGAAATAACTTTGTCTTTTAGACGTTTCTGTATATTAATCAAAGGTTGCATCCCATTGTGAGAGGTTTTGAATCCTCTTTTAAGGGTGACACTTAAGGTGGACTCATCTGAAACAGAGGTTCTCCAGAATGGACATTACAATTCCAAATTATCTAAAATGTGTACTTATTTTCACTTGTTTAATTTTAGATCAGGAATTTTGGGGAGTTGAAGTGGGGAAGCCCAGCAAGAGAGGAGAGAGGAGCAGCAGATCTAGCTTCAGCTGCTGGCATGTTTAATTATTTAATTATTTTCTTTTAAAGAGGCAGTACAGTATTCTTGATTTCATGTAGAAGCCTCAAAAAATTAAAATAGCCTTTCCATTGGTTGTTTAAGTTTGTAGCTGTCTTTTTCCAATTGTATATGTAAATACACCAGTTTGGGTAAACCGAAATTGCCCCATTTTGTCCATTTTAAAGTGAGATTTCCTTTAGCATGTTTAATTAACATTGCCTGAAGGGTGGATTTATATGCTCTTACAATATCAGGCAGGGGACACGTTCCCCACTGAGACACAATGTTTATCCCCATAATATGATCTATAACACAATCAAACAAAAGAGATATAATCATTTTACATAAAGCCCATTTAAATATACCAACTCTTATAAAACTTTAATTTTATCAACTCTTACACCTCTAATTACAACTTATTAGGATTCCATTAACAAGTTTCAGTATTACAATACTGTGTAGGGGAAGCATTCCCAGCCAGACATAAAATTCATTTCCAAAAAAAAACATATCCAGGCAAAGTTAACATAACCTCTTCATATAATATTGGCTTAAACACTTTAATCTTTATAGTCTTATCAACCTGAGCAGCCTAACTGTTACCCCAAACAATTGTTGGTCAGGTTTCTCATTGTGATCTCTGCCTTCTTCCTTTAAAAATTTTTCAAACTGGGGTGAATAGAACAGGTTTGTCTGAGGTCCTTTAATCTTGGGGGAGGGTAACGGGGGTCCCTTTAGCCCACCTAACCTTAGGTAGTGTTTTATTAAAACCTTTGTTTTAATTTCATTCATGTCCATTCAATTCATCCCATTTTTCTTTTTAATAACTAGTTAAAGATTTCCATCCTGTTGAGATGAGTCCTGTGACTCTTCCCTTTTTGATTCCTCTTTGCTTTTTCCCCTTTTAATTAATATTTGTCTTATTTACCCCACTGTCTTATTTACCTTATTATTTTTTAACTCCTCTAAAAATTTCCACCTTGTTGAGGAGTCCCTTTTTCCCTTCACTCATCTGTTAACTCAATGCCTTCATTAGCATTTGTAAGACCATCAAAGGAAGCTGAAACCCTGAGTTTAAGTTCTTAAGACTATTCATTGTATTTTCCTTTTTCATAGGTACCAATAAAACAGTTGTTTATGATGAGAGCTCTCTAAAACTTTTCCAACTGAAGGATCCACTGTTTGGCCATTTTTTTCTCTCCAGAGTCTAAAGAATATTGTGGCCACGTGGTGTTACAAAAGAAAACCATCTTCTTCTTGGACATGGGCTTATAGCTGAAGTCAGCCCATTTAACCAAGAGGTGGCCCAGAGGGCTTTTCTTGGGGACAGATGGAGCTCCTCCCCCTTTCAGAATTACAAACATACAGAACAGACAGCCAGACAGGATCCCAAACAGATAGGTGCACCCAACAGATTCCGGGTAAAAGTCCTACAACTAGTCCCACTCCAGTAGGGCGCCTTATTAACCAGATGGCCCTGCCTTGCAAAGAGATAGGACCACAGATGGAGGGGAAGGGAGTTCTCAGTGCACATCCGAGGTGACTTACCCTACTCCACATTGAGTCCGTCCACTCACCAGAAGCAAAAACCAACAAACAAACAAACAATTCTAGAGCCTGTTTCCTTGCCATAAGAAAATATGGCACTGGTGCCGGGTCATACGGAAAGTACTGGGAACAGTCGCTATGGCAAATCACCTAGGCAGCTGCTAGACTGCTTCCCTGGAAATCTCAGTGGGCCCAGGGACACAGAGCCACAGGCAAAGAGCCTCCTGGCTGGCTCGCCAAATTGGTACCAGATACATACCCAGATTCTTTACCTGCCACACAAACTGGAACGCCAGGCTTATGGCAAGGAAAGAGTTTTTATTTCGGGTGACATCAACTGTGAGACGAGAGCTCTCAAACTTGTCCTGTCTCCCCAAAAGATGGGAGGCAAGGGGTTTTAAAGGTTGTGAGGAAGAGCACGTGCTGGGGCTTTAGGTAGGGGAGGGAGAGCATGTGCTGGGGTTTTAGGTAGGGGAGGAGGAGCGTGAGGCTATGCTGGTTGGCACCTTCCCACCAGCTTGCGTTTGGCCTTGAAGACTGAATTTCTTTCCCTTGACTGTCTGGACTTTTCTGGTTAGCTTTCATCTTCAGACTGCGTTTGGCCTTGTGAGGCTGAATCTTGACGTCTGGACCTTGACTTCCCAGGAAAGACAGCTCACTCATATACTAAGGAGGGACAGAAAGACCTGGTTAGTTGTAAACAGTTGATTATGCTGAGTATGCAAAGCTGCAGTTTACGAAGCTTATCTCTAAGTTTTTGCTAACTTCCTGTAGCCCAGGGAAGATTTTTTAACCTCTTCATGCTTGGTTTCACTACCATCACTGTATCCATCTCCAGAACTCCTGTCATCTTGCAAAACTAAATCTCTGTCCCCATTAAACACTACCTCCCCATTTCCCCTCCCCCCAACTCCTGGCAACCCCCATTCTGCTTACTGTCTCTATGAACCTGACTACTCGGAAAGTCAAATCATACAGTATTTGTCCTTTTGTGGCTGGCTTACTTCACTTAGCATAATATCCTCATGGTTCATCCATGTGGTATCAGGTGTCAGAATTCCCTTCCTTTTTAAGGCTGAACGATATTCCATTATATGTACACACATTTTATTTATACCTTCATCCATAAATGGACAATTCATAGATGCTTCCAACTTTTGGCTATTGTGAATGATGCTGCCGTGAACATGGGTGTATAAATATCTGAGACCCTGTTCTCAATTCCCGTGGGTATATACCCAGAAGTGGAACTGCTGGATCATATGGTTATTCTATGTTTAACTTTTTGAGGAATCCCGGGACTATTTTCCACAGCCACTGCACCATTTTACATTCCACCCACAGTGCACAAGGTTTCAGTTTCTCCACACGCTCACCAACACTTACTAATTTCTGTTTTTTGAAACCAGCTATCCTAATGGGTGTGGGGTGGTACGGAGCAAAAAGAATCCAATCGCCCCCCTGTTAGCAGGCAGGCCGAAGAGCCGCCTTCTTGGCCCGCCCCTCCCACGCCCGCCTTGCCGCCCAGTCCTGAGGGTGGAAGGGGGGCTCGCCTCCCTGAACGGCCAGGTCACGGCGGCGACGGGCGGGGGCGGGGCGGCGCCGACTGGGACGCACCCCTAGAGAGGACAGTCTGTGGCCGGGTACCAGCGGGCCCGCGAGGCCCGTTTCTGTCATGGATCAGAAAGTACCCGGCTTCTCCGGGGCCCAAGCATCTCGGCCCGCCAGGGCAGGGCAGGCCAGAGCGCCCGGCGCATGCGTGCTTCCGGGCGGCGCGGCGGGGCGGCCAGTAGGGCCCGGCGCATGCGCGCTCCCGGCGCTGTCGGGACTTCGGATCATGACGGCGGCGCTGGGCGGCCGGGGTGCGCTGCGGCGCGGGCTCCTCCTCGCGGCCCTGAAGCCCAGGATCCATGTCGTCCGTGCAGGGCCCGCGGCCGCACTCGGGTAATGGCGCTCGCTCCCCTCCGGGAGCGCCCGCGTCCACGTGCGCGCGCTCGGGGTGGCAGGGGGGCCGCGCCCTG